TTAAATTGTTGGACTAACTTTCGGCGACCCCTGCGGAATTCTGATGATACATTACGGGATCTGGCCAAGGTTGTGGATAAATCCTTCGGGGATAGAGAGATGAATTCCCAAGTGGACACTTGTGATTTGTTTCTGATTGTATGCCTAAAAGTACATTCTGTGGAGAGTTTCATACTTTATTTAGTATGCTTTGGACCTGTGTAAGATCATCATGGGACCCAAACAAAGGAGCAAACATCGGTCTATGCCATACGATTTGAGCATGCCGGACAATTGGACCGCTAAACAACTCTGACAAGAATTGTCTTAGCTAGGCATTACGACTCCATCGACTACCAAGAAAGCTCAGCTTATAGCGATGTTTAAAGAGCAGTCATCCATCAGCAGTTCTGATGGTCAGTCATCTGTCACGGAGAATCGACAACCACTTGGGTGGATACAGAACTCTCTAACCCAGAATGCAACAGAAGTCGTAAACAACCAAGATGGCGTCTTATCCGGCATTTCACACCTGTCAGACACGATCTCGACCAGACTGGCTGATTCCCTGTCAACCATTCGGGAAGACATGCAGCGGATGCAATCTCGCATTAATTCTTTAGAAGGAAGACTTCCCCAGCAGCTTTGGTAGGTAGTTCCAGGTAATCTGCGAGGGATGCCACCCCGGTACCACCAAACACGACGCTCCTGGATTTCCTCGGACAATTTCGTCAGGACACAGTACGGATACTCCGCGGAATCCCTCCACTTCGTGGAAGTTATTTCTCCAGCCGTACGCCGTATCATTACAGAAGGTAAGGACGTTAACCTTGCTGCCATATTTCACAGGCTCCTAATGGGGATGGGGTTACAGAATCGAAACCGGACCCCAGACTAATGAAAACTCTGACGATAGGCGAATTCATACAGGCATTCGGTATTTACAAACACATCATGTGTCAATCGTTTCCCTCCAGACCTGAAGAACTGAACTTATATGTGAGGGATATAATCGACATGGTATCAAGGTATGGGTAAGCCAGTTTCTACGAATATCATAAGCAATTTAGTGCCAAGGCTGCAGCCTACCTCACTTACCAAAACATTCGAGTAGATTGGTCTATCAGGAATAATGCACTTTTCTGCAACATTTTTGCCAACTTGAAACCAGTCAGCTGCCATATATGTAACAGTGTTAGTCACAAGGCAGGGTTTTGCCCACAGACAACAATGAACAATCAACAACAGCGCCACAGTAGTAGCAACACAGACAAACATGGCAGAATTAAAAAGCTCCATCAGGGAAAAGAGATCTGCAACAATTATAATTACAAGGGCTGTCATAGATTCCACTGCAACAACCTACATGTGTGTATCGTATGTTTAAAGGATCATTCTAAGGGAGACTGCACATCTCAGGATTTCATTTCAGACAAGAGTTCCGCGGGGCGGAACAATATACGCCCGCCGAAGGCCATATAGTGTTATATACTTTCTTACATTGAAATAAGATCTGCATTCAAAGAGTGGTTAGCTGACATGCTATAAAAATGTAGGAGAAAATCTCCTTTTCAAGGAAACACAACAACATATCATGATTATTTAGCCTA